AAGGTGATGGCAAAATAGACTTATGTCCTTATTTCGGAAGAGTCAAAGACAAATATGTGACCTTTCTGAATATTGGTGTCTGGGTTTAAGCTAGATTTACCTGATTTCTGAAGAAACAGAGACAGATTTGTGACCTTTCTAAATGTGTTAATGTGTGTGTGTGTGTGTGTGTGTGTGTGCGTGCATATGTGTTTGTTGGTTTGGTGTGGAGGGGGGGGTGTTATTTTAGGACGCTTGTTTGGGCAGAAACTGGATGTCGGCATATTAGCTTTCATGGTTTCTGCATGCAAATGGGCTGAAACCTCAGACATTACATGTACAAGTTAATACATGAAGACAAGTACAGTATAAGGCATTATCAAAAACTGAGTGATAGTATTTCACCACCATGAAGTCAGCAGTCTACCATCACATGACATTTACTTTACTTGTATAATACCATGAACCTCCATGAACCTCTATTTACACAAAACAAAACACCACTGACTTTTGGGCTCTACTTAATAAGACAATTAATGATTTAATTGTTGTTAAAATACTAGTGGTGTCAGAGTTAACGTGTCAAAGTTATTTCCACAGAGCTGATGCCGGAAAAATAAGTAATTTGACAGACAACTCTGGACAGTAGAAGAAAAGTAAAGCAACAGCAAAGTGAAAGACTTCAGTTCACATTGAAACAAAACTAGCTAGCTAGCAGTATAAAATGAGTAGGATTTTTCCCCAGGTTCTGTAAAGCATGTCCTGCCTCACAACAATTTCTACAAAAGAATACATTCTTGGGTGGAGCATGGATTGGTCAGTCCTGTATCAATGTATTTATTAACTTTTAACCCCCTATAATCTCAGGCTTTATTTACCAGGCAAGTTATTAAAACCAACATACAATTCTTGGAATAATTTGGGCCGCTGTGTTGCTTGCCAGCATTCATGAATTACATAGCTTGGCACTGGTGTATGTCATCATATTGTGTTTTGTCACTGTTTTGTGAAAATAATAAGCTACTTGAGGCCATGCATTTATTTCACTTCAACACCCTGTAACCATGATAACATCCCTTTACCGCTAATTGCGTCTGGGTAATTGCTCAATACTATCCCACAGAGCTGGGACTATGATTAGCTGTCATTACATATGTGATAGTAGCTAATAGAGTGACAATTAAATATCATAACAACCTGGCTCTAACTAGCTACCATTCTGGGATACGTAGCTAATATAAGGCTACATAATTCCAGCCTAAAATATGGCCTAGAATCGGTAGGAAGCACATTTAAAATATCTAAGAACTGAGGCACCTTCTTGAGACACTGCCTATGCTTTCTAGGTACTGAACTATAGACTGTGATGTAATCTCAACAACAGTGGGTAATATAAGGTCCGGAATGTGGACAGACCATCTATCTACCTACCATCAGTGATCTACCATGCAGTAATCTAATCAAAGCTGAGCTATAAGCAAATTGATCAAAGGTGAAAGTCAAGGCTTCCCAGGGCCTCGCATAGCATAGGTTTCAGTCGCATAGATGCACTCAGTCAGTCCAAACGTGTCATATTATCTTCCTGTCTTCTTCTTTCATGATGCTAAGGCAGTTATCAGTAGAAATGTAGGTCGTAAAATCGTTTTCTGGCACCCTTCAGAGCACAGGGAGTGGCACATGCTTGACGACCTTCGGTTCGCCACGCCCTGGACACACCTGGATGGCGCCAGACACAGACACTTAAATAATATATACCCCACCCTGTCTTGGGTATTTTTTTCAAATACCCAGACGTCTCTCGGGGAAATATGAGGATGCTTCACCCTGTCTTTGGGCAATGCACTGATACCGCGCCTTCTCCTGGGGGAAAACAAAGATGCCCGAACCTTTCTTCGGGGAATACCACCTTCCCTTCAGGAAATGCAAGAATACTCCACCTTTCCTTGAGGGAATATACAAATACCCCACTCGCTCTTGGGGGAATGTTCAGCTACCCCACCCTCTCTTGGGGGAATGTACAGGCACCCCACCCTCTCTTGCGGGAATGTACAGATACCCCACCCTCTCTTCAGGGAATATGAGGATGCCCCACCCTCTCTGCAGGGAATACAAGGATACCCCACCCTTTCTGCAGGGAATACAAGGATACCCCACCCTCTCTGCAGGGAATACAAGGATACCCCACCCTTTCTTCAGGGAATCTGAGGATACCCCACCCTTTCTTCAGGGAATCTGAGGATACCCCACCCTCTCTGCAGGGAATACGAGGATACTCCACCCTCTCTTCAGGGAATCCGAGGATACCCCACCCTCTCTGCAGGGAATACGAGGATACCCCACCCTCTCTTCAGGGAATCCAAGGATACCCCACCCTCTCTTGGGGGAATTTACAGATACTCCACCTTCTCTTTGAGGAATAGAAGGATACCCCACCATGTCTTGAGGAAATATACAGATACCTCACCTTTTTTCTGGGAAATAGTTACCCATCTTCAGGGAATACAAGGGCATCCCACCTTCTCTTTGAGAAATACCGAGAAGCCCTGTAGGAATATACAGATAGCCCACCCTCTCTTGGGATGTAAATGGATACCCCACCCTCTCCTAGAGGTTATACAGATACCGAACTCTTTTTTTTTTTATTACCCCTCCCTCTCTCTGGGGAAAGCTTTAAAAAAGCTGACCATTACATTAAAATAGATAGTCAAGTATTTCATAGCTGATTGCAACTCAAATACAGTCAAATTGCAGTCAGTTTTTGTTTTTAGTGGCCCATTTTTTTGTACTTTTTATTTTACCCAAAGCTCACACTGCATGGGCTAAATGAACATCTGAAACATGCTAGCACGTTTCCAGAAATTTATTTTCACCAGATATATTTGATGTATTTATATTTATATATTTCACAATATAAATAACATTAAATTTGCTGTTTTGCTGGGCAAAACTTGAATAGATAAAATTGGTAAATGAAAAATCAGATGCTTATTTAAATAATGAATCAAAACGTACTATATATCGAAAGTGGCTTATTCAGCACAATGAGTCATGTGTTTGTACAACAATATTTTGGTATAGGTGAAGCGTTCAAACCCAGAGTGCACTGACCGGTCTCACGTTATTTAGATCATAAACAAAGATTGGCCAAAATATAAACAATACACTGTCTGATTGCCAATTGCATGTTGGGAGCAAATAATTGCAGATTCCAATCTTGTCCAATTGTACATCACTTCGATAGACTCAAGCTGCCACAGAAGAACCACTCTTGTTTCCCTAAAGAACCATGTTTGAAAAAGAGATTTATGAATGTAAAGAACTTTTTAAAGGCTTAATGAATCTTCACATTAAATACACTAAGGAGGTTGGCGGTTCTTTAAAGCTTAAAAGGTTCTTTACACATCTCCTGATTCTCCAAAGAACCATCCATTGAAAGATTCTTCAGGGAACCAAAAGTGGTTCTTCTACTGCATTCATGATTAAACCCTTTGTCCCACCTTTACCTTTTGAGAGTGTTGACAAAATTACTTTAAACAAGTAAGAAATGTATACAAGTACACTCTTAAAAAGGATGGTTCTTCAAGGGTTCCTTAGTAAAGGCAATGGTTCTATATAGCACCAAAAAGGGTTCTGCTATTGTTATGATGTCAAACTTGTTGCAATAGAAGACCCCTTTTTGGTGCTATATAGAACCCTTTTCAAAAATGTTCTGTATGGAATCATATATAACACATTTTTCATCAGCCTAAAGAACCATTTCACCACACAAAGAATAATTTAAGCATGCAGATTGTGCTTTGAGTGTTCATTGTTCTATATAGAACCATTGTCTTTACTAAAGAACCTTTATAGAACCAGGGTTCTGCTATTGTTACCATGTCAAACTTGTTACAATAGAAGACCCCTTTTTGGTGCTATATTTTTCAAAAAGGTTCTATATAGAACCATATACAGCACATTTTTCATCAATCTGAAGAACCATTTCACCATGCAAAGAGTTCTTTCAGTGTTCATTGTTCTACATAGAACCATTGTTTTTACTAAAGAACCCTTGAGGAACCATCTTTTTAAGGGTGTATGGTTCTATAAAGAACCTTTTTAATATGGTGCTATATAAATCCCTTATCAAAAAGGTTCTGTACAGAATCATATACAACACATTCTCCATCAGTCTGAAGAACGATTTCACCACGCAAAGAACCATTTAAGCATGCAAAGAGTTCTTTCAGTGGTCATGGTTATATATAGAACCATTTTCTTTACTAAAGACCCCTTGAAGAACCATTTTAAAAATGTATGCTTCTATATAGAACCTTTTTGAAAATGGTTCTGTAGGGTTCTGCTATACTTATAATGTTCAGCTTGTTAAAACAAATTAACTTTTTTGCTGCTATATAGAACCCTTGTCAAAAAGGTTCCATATAGAACCATATACAACACATTCTCCATCAGTCTGAAGAACCATTTCACCATGCACAGAACAATTTAAGCATGCAAACGGTTCTTTGAGTGTTCATGGTTCTATATAGAAACCCTTTGAAAATGGCACCAAAAATGGTTCTGCTATTGTTATGATGTTGAACTTGTTGCAACAGAAGAACCATTTTTGGTGCTTTACATAGAACCCTTTTCAAAAAGGTTCTATATAGAACCACATACAACACATTCTCCACCAATCTGAAGAACCTTCTTTGCATGGTGAGATGATTCTTCAGACTAATGGAGAACATACACACTTCAAAAAAGATGGTTCTTCAAGGGTTCTTTAGTAAAGCGGTTCTGTATAGTGTTGTCTAATGATGGTGTGGATGTCGTGGCCCGTCTTGGTGGTTGGTGTGTTTCCCTGTTTGGATGCCACACCTTCGCTTTTCAGGTTCCTCACCTTCTCTCTGGACTGATACTGCAGCCATTATTTGGACACTCCACCTCCGCCCAGTGTGTGTGAAGGTCCTATGGATGTTCCACCCCCCTGTCTGGATGCCCCACCCCTCCCCGGGGTATATATAGCCCTTCTCTGGCTGGAGAGCATCAGTAGCAGGTGTGCTTCACCTTGGCTTCATCTCCCTCCAGTCCAGAGGAACATCTCCAGCAGCCATGAGCAGCGCGTCAGTCCTCAGCCTCTCGAGCTCCCGCCAGCTCTCCTCGCTCTCCCTCACGGGGGGGATGACCAAGCGCGTCTCCATGGGGCGCTCACCCAGCGTGTACGGCGGCGCCGGCGGTAGCAGCGTCCGCGTGTCCTACGCGTCCAGTGTGGGCTCCGGGGTGGGCTCCGGGTTCGGGGGCGGGCTGGACCTGAGCAGCGCGCTGGACGGCGGCTTCGGCGCGGGCTACAGCGAGAAGGCCACCATGCAGAACCTCAACGACCGCCTGGCCAGCTACCTGGAGAAGGTGCGCGCGCTGGAGAAGGCGAACGCGCAGCTCGAGCGCCAGATCCGCGAGTGGTACGACAAAAGGGCGCCCACCACGCGCGACTACAGCCACTACCACAGCACCATCGCAGATCTGCGCAAGAAGGTGAGAGGACACATCTGGACTTAGTGACAAGTTTTTTCTGCTAATTTTAGTGCACAGTTTATATTTATTCGCTTAGCAGGTTGGAAAAAAAATTAAAACAAAAAAATTAAGTTTTACATTTAATTTTATTTATTTATTTATTTTTTGGTTAAAGTCAGCAATTAAACAGTAACTGTCCATTAAAAATCAGCAAAGATGTCATTTGACCAGGGGTGCCAAAACTTTTGCACATGACCGTATACATGTTTTATTTAAGTTTTATTTTAGTTATAAAATGCTATATAAATTAAGTTGATATGAATGTAGGTATACTATAAATCTAGTTGTAAATTAAGTGTTAATTTTCTATTACTATTTATAAGTTCTTTTCACAGTGTTATTAACAAAGACATCCACGTTCACATCCTTCTAGTAGATCAACTAGTTTAACCTCCTCTCAGATCAACTTTAATGTCTTCTTATCAAACATAATTCAGTTCAGATTTCAATCCTGGATTCAAATTGTGTTTGTAAATGTAGCCGTTAATTTCACAAATGCTGTAAAATTAGATGACATTAAAAAATTTGATTCTAAGTTCAACATTTCCAGCCCTGAAGATCCAGAAATCCTTAGTTTCGAGCCACAGTTTTCTGCTATGATCAATTTGTTCCATCCAGTTTAGATCATATAGCCCCTTCAAAATAAAAGTCACCTCTATTCTGGCTAATCTTACCCACTGTGTCCTCTCTTCTTCAGATCAGCGTAGCCAGCCTGGACAACGCCAGGATCGTCCTTCAAATCGACAACGCCAAACTCGCAGCAGAAGACTTCAGAGTCAAGTGAGTAGAATTTGAATTTCTCAAATGGAAATGACTTTTATGCCTAGGCAAATCAGTGGAATTTGAGTTTTTCATGCATAAATTACGATTCCAGTTCTAAGCTTCAACACTCCAGTAACACATCCTCTACAGGGAACAGAAATATGTCATTTATCTGCCAATTTTCGTTCATAATTTCTAACTATTTGCTAAGTTTAACATATTTTACAAACTAAAACATGAAATGCATATAAAATGTGCCATTACTTTCGCACAGGCCGAAGTATGTTTTATGTTTCCAATATGTTAAATTTGGTAAATAAACAGTGCAGAAGTGTGTTGTCTGTAGCGGACGTGTTCACTTATTTACATTTAAGAAATCAACAAAAACATGCCAGTCAACCAGGGGCGCCCAAACTTTTGCATACGACTGTACTTATACGCCAGGTTAGACTCTTGGGGACTCATAACGTTCATATTACAGTTTCATTATATAATAAAAGTTGAGAAAGTGTATAAATACTGGGTTGTCAGTGGCAGAAAAAAGTAGCTAAAATCTGAACGAAATTCAGTTAAACCTGATTTTTTATCAGAGTGGAAATGGACGGAACGTTTCTCTGACCTGGGCAGAGAACTTTGGACAGCATAGAACCATTTAAAACAATTAAATTTACACGGTTCTTTGGTTTTGCACTTGAGCTATGAGGCTAATGTAGCTAACAGAAGCTTATACCACACAAATTAGCATGGTGCTAACGTCACAGCTAAGCATCCGCCCTCGCCTCAAACTGTGTGGAGTTGCTCATTAATATCTAATAGATTTGATTATTCGTTATTAGTTTTCTGAAACCCACTATTATTGATAAACATGGACAAAAATATTTTAGCATAGCTAAAAAGCACAAGCAGCACTAGCCATCTTGTAGCCTGAATGCTGAGTATACATGTTTGTGCTTTGGTCAGTTTAACCACATATTAAGTCACAAGCAGTAATCCGAGATGCTGACCGCTCCTGTTTGTCCTCTGTTTAGGTATGAGAACGAGTTGGCCATGCGTCAGTCCGTGGAGGCCGACATCGCCGGCCTGCGCCGCGTCCTGGATGAGCTGACCATGACCCGCTCTGACCTGGAGATGCAGATCGAAGGCCTCAGGGAGGAGCTCGTCTACTTGAAGAAGAACCACGAGGAGGTAAGAGCTCAACAAATCCTTCCTACACTGCCGAGCATCACTTGTAAATAATGCTAACTTGGAGGATTGTGGCTGCGTCCCAATTGTGTGCTACGCAGTATATACTGTATAGTATTAGTGCGTAGTACACAATTGGGGCGCAGCCACAATCTTCCAAGTTGGCATTACTTACAGCTCGACAGGTTAGTACACAAAATATTAACATACTACACCGTTCTTACTAACAGGAAGTGACGAACAGTTGCCATGCCAACGTACATCATAGCAAGCTAGACTCTGAAGGCTAGCTAACAAATTAACATGCGTTCACAAACAAACGCTAACGAATGAAAACATTAGTGTAACACGTTCGTTTTTTTGCAGAATATTTTACAAATTTGGGATGAATTTCTCATTTCTGAACATCTCATTTATACACCATTTCTGGTCCCGCTACCACCGCAGCTGCTGTCTCGTCGCCGTCCAGCATTTTTTCCGAATTTTCCAGACGCGAGAAGCTCCTCCTTTTCCGTTTCCCGTTGGAGTGTGGGACAATAGTGTCCATCATTACTATGCTCAAAAATCGTAACCTAAGTATTCAATGTGGATTTTTGAGTATACTCAACTTTGACACTTGTGACTATACTACACACTACATACTCAAACACTAGTTAGTATTAGTATTAAGTGCGCAATTGGGACGCAGCCAATGGGTAAAAGCTAGCTAGCTAACTAACCTCATCGCGTTTTTTTCATTATTTAGTGCACAAATGTGTTAAGAAATCATTTGGAACACTCTCAGACTATATTTACATTGATTTTCAGTTACAGTTCAGGAAAGCCATGCTAGATGCTAGGCTAATGGAGATACTGCCTTTAGCTGCATTAGCGGGAGGCTGTGTTGGCACTGGAGCTCAGTGTCCAAAGTCAATATTCCACATTTCATAGTCCACAACACTCCCATGGGCCTGACCAGCACAATCAGTGAGCAGTTAAACATAGAATGATGATTCAGTTAAAAGAATAGCCTAGTTTGACAAAGATGCTAACATAACGTGAGGCTAGTGGAGGTTAGCTTCCATTCACAGGCATGTTAGCCAACATATTCAGAGGTAATATTTAGTTAACAGGAGATTACAACATATAAATATGCTAAGATTTAGAGCAGTTAGGATAGCAGGTAGAGGGGACTGTCCTCCACAGTTCAGGAGGGGGTTCGATTCCCCGCCTGGGTAGGTGAACCATGCTAATACTAATACGCATCCCTGGGCAAGACCCTAGTGCTGCCTCTGTAACGCGATTACATTGCGAGTCAGTCATTTACACACAGATAAATTTCAGCCTGCTGTTCTTTGACCCTGCAGGAAATGGCAGCTCTGCGCAGCCACATGTCCAGCAGCTCGGTGAACGTGGAGGTGGACGCTGCTCCTCAGCAGGACCTGACGCACATCCTGCAGGAGATCCGTTCACAGTACGAGGGCATCGCCGAGAAGAACCGCAAGGAAATGGAGGCATGGTACAAGGTCAAGGTGAGGGCCGCCACATACGTGTTCACCTGCGCTCTGTGCAAAAATATTAGACCCCCTGTGAACGCTACATTCAAAGCTGTTCTTCTGGCTAGTTAGCAGCTATTTGCTTATGGAAACATTATTAAAATGAACAGTTCCAGCCAAACAATCATGACTGAAATAAGTTCTAGACGTGTTGTTTTATCTGATGTTTTTTCACCCCATGTTCAGTGGACATTCCACTGACCACTGGTTGCTAAGCAACAACAAGGGTAGCTTTACTGGAAGCCGCTGGAACTACTTTTTCCGGCAGAAGAAATGTACAAAATTAAAACTGGACAGATGACTGAGATTCTTTAAAGGGCTTATATCTTTTATGGAAAGCCTCATTTTGAATTCACAACCTTTGTGATGTCACAAAAACCAGTGCATTTACATACATCTGCCTATTCAGCCAACAGCAGTTTAGCTCTGCCCACTAATGCTGAAGTCAACTGATGTTATAAGGAATGTTTCAGTCTGATTTTTGAGCAAGGTGCAATACAGGACAGCCAATCAGGATATAGCGCATTTACATATATTAGTCTTAAAGGCACGGTAACACAAACAGCCTGTTTAATTAATGGGACAAAATGAGGTTGGAATATGGTCATGTAAATGAATTATGACCAAAAATATACATATATTTTAGTAGACGATATAGAATATGAGCTGTCAGTGTCACATCCTGGGGATCCAGGTGTCATCATCATGTTAAAGTCCATCACAAGCACATATTCTGACATTTGACCTCTCTCTCTCTCTCTCTGTCAGTTCGATGAGCTGAATAAGCAGGTGAAGACGAGCACAGAGAGCATCCAGACATCACGCAGCGAGCTCACTGAACTGAAGAGAACCCTACAGTCCCTGCAGATCGAGCTGCAGTCTCAGCTCAGCCTGGTACGCTCACACACACACACACACACACACACACACACACACGCCCACACACATACACACAGACCATCAATCGGATCAGCTAAAAGACATAATCTGCCACCAGTGAAATGAAGTGCTAAGGCCTGGCTTTCAGCTCACTCACTCATGTTTAGCAGTCTGTTGATTCACCACAAGGGGGCGACATTATCACTCAAATAGCTTTTAGGCCTTCATAATAGTGGTGCTTTGCATTAATGACAAATTAAGTCTTTGTTATTTTATTGCTTCGATTCAAATCATTAAAAGAACACATCGTACATGCAGATCTCTCTTTATTCTTTATCTCTATACATCTTTATATTTTAATTCTCTCTCCTTCAAAATGTCTTTTCTCTCTCTCACTTTCAATCTTGCTAATTTCACCTTTTTTTTCTCTCTCTGTCCATTTCTCTCTTTACCTCTATGTCTCTCTACCTCTTTACATTCTCTCTCTCTCTCTCTCTCTCTATCTCTCTATCTCTCTATCTCTGTTTACCTCTCTACATCTCTTTTACCTCTTTTTAACATCTTTCTGTTATTCACTTCTTCCATTCTGCTCATCACATTAATTTGTGATCTCATGCGAGCCCACCGTGCCCCTTCTCACTCGTCCTCCCTCTCTCTCTGTGTGGTCAGAAAGCGGCTCTGGATGGAACCCTGCACGAAACAGAATCGCGCTACAGCCTCCAGCTGGGTCAGCTGCAGAACCTGATCAACAGCCTGGAGGTCGAGCTGACCCAGATGCGCATGGACATCGAGAGGCAGGCCAGCGAGTACAAGTTGCTGCTGGACATTAAAACTAGGCTGGAGCTGGAAATCGCCGAGTACAGGAGGCTGCTGGACGGAGAGGAAGTCAAGTAAGTCGGCATTATGATTAATTAATAATTAATACAGACAGACTGTATATTAAAAGAACATCTAAATACGTTTTGCTGTCTTGTCTATAAGATTTATAACTACACTGTAAGTTATTATTACCTATAACATGACAAACACTGACACTGATTTACATAATATGCAATATATGTTATGCTTGTATGCTAAATATATTTAAATGTGCGATTTTCAAATATTTCAATATGTGCCGATGTATGCATGTCAATGTATTAAAATGTATGCACATGTATTATAGTCAATTTTTCAAAACATATTTCAAAAATATTTGTAAAATGTATTAGAAATTTGACACGTTTTGAAAAATATGTGAAAATTTTTTTGCGTAACTTTAATATCATATATACTGGGGGGGGGTGATGTGGTGCCCTCTAGTGGACAGAAATCATCTGCAGATTTTTTTATTTTTTATTTTAGTGGCATTTTAAAATGCTTATTTTTTTTCTCTGCAGGAAGACGACAGTGACAAAGGTCATCGAGGTCGCTGCTCCTCCTCCCAAACGTAAGTTACTTTACTGTATATTATATCACTAAAGTGTAGCAATAATACAGTATTCTGTTTATATCATCTTTGATTCATTTTATTTATTTACTATTTATTTTTTCTACGTTAGAATTAGTCACCACACAACAGGGCATTCTGTAATTTATTGTATTATGAATATTAGGAATTACTGAATATTATGAAAATTGTTATATTATGAAAAACCATTCTAGAATCACACAAGTATTGATTTCAAATCTATGAAATCTTAGATTATTAGCATATTATAATCATTTTTTTGCATTTATTTGAAACCAAATAATTTTCATATTATTAAAATCATGAACTCCAGACTCTTGAACGGTGATGTGGTTCCTGACGTCTTCCCTCTTTTTCTTCTGTCCACTGTAGCTGAGCCCGTGGTGACCAAGCGTGTGCGGACCGTGGTGGAGGAAGTGGTTGATGGAAAGGTGGTCTCCCGCACTGAGGACGTGGACGTTGAGGTCCTGAAGAAATAAGAAAAGGCCGCAGTCCTGCTACCCAACACCGTGCGACCATCTCTGTCCACAAACAACAACAGTTCGACTTTAAGTGTCTGATGAAGAGACGAGTGTGAATTTAATGGTGTGAATAACTAAACATCCTCCGTCTCTGTAACATCTGTGTGTATGTTTGCAAAATGTCAAAATAAAAGACCAGCTAAAGTGCCATATTATATCACCAGTGTTTGCATTGCGTTTATTTTGCTGCCTCACTTTCTGATTAACAATCACGGAAGCCACATATCAGCTATAATCAATACACCATTCTCAGATCAGGACTGTAACCAGTAATGAAAGACATATGAATATCTCCTTGCTTGGGTACTGATAGAAATAGCTTGATAATTGAAATAAAAGTTATAAACAATTTAATAATAATAATAATAATAATAATAATAATAATATGAATGCAATACAAAAATGGTCCAGCATCCATACATCTTCTTTAAGGTAATTTGTTAAATATCCCATGTAGAATCTACACTATAGGTGTATATGCAATAAATAATGTTCCATGTGCAAAAGTGACCTTGGCATGAGACATTTGAATCAATATGAATGTCCACATGTCCATTTTCTGTCCACAAATCCAAAAAGTAAAGTAAAATGTGGGACAACTCTGTTTGGTAATTAAATTTCTCAGAAGTGAAATAATTATACATTTTAAATACTCAAGAAGGTACTTAAGTGCAGTACAAAATAAGGCGTCCATCCTTAGTCAAATCAATGAATCAATCTGAATGCTTAGTAAATATGAATGATTTTTTAAAAAGTAAGAATTAGAAAAAAATAAAGGTTTTTGTCGAAACAGATGAAGCTTTTTTTGTATCATTTTGAGCTGGATAGGTTTTGCCATGTGGCATTTTCACAACTTACTTAGTTTTAAGTTTTAATAGTGAAGTGTTAAAATTAATGACAGATTAATTAATACATTAAAACAGTCTAACGTGATTTAAAAGGAATAAGTCAGAAACAAAAAGTTGGATGTGTTCGTCTTAATCAATAAATGAATGAACTAATTAATGTTTTAAACAACTGGAATGTGACACTAGATCTCAGGAGGAACTCTGTCTTGGTGCCTGTGACTGCCCAGACCTTTATATGCATTCCCAATTAACATTATTTATTTATTTATTTGTTTGTTTGTTTATTTAATTGCTTGTTTTACCTTGTTTAACCTCAAAGTATATTTTTACGTGATTTTGTCCCTGGTCTTGGTAACTTTAGGCTTTTATTTTGACAGGACTTCACCTCTGGTACTAGTAATCCCAGGCTTTTATTCTGACCAGATTTTACCCGTGGTTATGATAACCCTAGGCTTTTATTTTGACAGGATTTTACAATTGGTTCTAGTAACCCAAGGCTTTTATTTTGACTGGATTTTACCCTTGGTCTCAGTAACCCCAGGCTTTTGACAGGATATTACCAGAGAACATGGTTCTTGTAACCCCAGGCTTTTATTTTGACAGGATATTACCAGAGAACGTGGTTCTTGTAACCCCAGGCTTTTATTTTGACAGGATTTTACCAGAGAACGTGGTTCTTGTAACCCCAGGCTTTTATTTTGGCAGGACTTTACCAGAGAACATGGTTCTTGTAACCCCAGGCTTTTATTTTGGCAGGACTTTACCAGAGAACTTGTAGAGAGGAGAATTTCCTCTCTGTAATGTCTTCCGGGTTTCTCAGACACTAGAGGGCGCTCCTGAGTCCAAAATGAATGGGTTGCTATGGAGCATTTGAGCAAAATCATAGTTTATAAATGTTTAAACAGTTTTAATGTAAAAGAATACATTAAATATCCTGAACACAGAGCAGCATAAAACATTTTAACACTGCTGTTATATTTTTAAGAGCTTTTAAACTCGAGTCATGGGAGATTAAAACGGCGCCTCATGTACGTTCATAACGTCAGTGAGCGCGAACAGCCAATGAGCTGCTCCGCTCGCCAATCAATCAGCACTCATGTAGCAGTAATGTTAGCGTCCTGCTGCCCAAAATCCATTTACTGTATAAAAAAGGATATATATGGGTGAGATTTCTTTGTTTTTTTTTTAGTGAAATCCATCCTTCTACTTTCTAAAATTAAAGGAAAGTTCTGGTTCAGTGATTAGAAACTATTTTAACTTTTCGTTTTTAGCCATTTAGCTCCATTTATTCCTATTAATTGATGACTGGCTCACGGGCGCCCTCTGCTGTTTAGCAGTCCTGTTTTTGACACAACGGGGGAAATAAGAAGAGGCCAGACTCCTCATAAACCGGCTCTGATGCTACATAGATATCCATACCTAGATGCCGCGTTGGGTCCAGCCAGACACGTCAACGGCGCCGCCATTTTGGGGCGGTCAACATCACTGCTGGACTGCATTCAGTACCATTACAGAGCAGCAGTTTAAGAAAGATACTGTCCAAAATTACACAATTTCAGGAATATCACACTCAGAAAGTGGGATAGGATTATATAACGGAGGGAACGCAGTGATCCACACTCATGTCTGTGTGATGCGTATTGTTTGTGTGGTGTTTTATGTAGATATGGTCGTGTGGTTGGTGAAGCACAGAGAACCTGTTGATGTGACTGTTTTTCCTCTGGTTTTATATTAAGCTTATTTCACTTAATAGTCCTTACACTCCTTAATACGTGTACATATTTATAATAGATTAGCACCTTATTATACAAACCTGAAGTTAGGTTCTTATTCGCCAGCTTCTTGTTCACATTTTCCCGTTCCACCTTAAATGGTGCATCAGTCAGCATCTTGTTTGAATTTTCCAGTTCCACCTTAAATGGTGCATCAGCCAGTTTCTTGTTCGAATTTTCCAGTTCCACCTTAAATGGTGCAGCCTTAGGCACCAGAAAGTGACTGCTACACCATTTAAGGTGGAACGGGAAAACTCAAACAAGAAGCTGGCGAATAGGAAGACAACGATAGCTTTGTCCTTCTGTGTGTTAATATCAGAAGTGATTCATTCATTGATGGATTTGCTGATGTGTCTGATTGTGTTTCTCACGCTTAACTCGGTTTTAACGTCAGGTTAATAGGGACTGAATACTTTCCTGCTGGTCCGGACGGCTAATTATCGCGATCAGTTATTAAAGTAATAAAAGCTGCCGAGAGCAGATCCGTGCAGCCTGGATTAATCTGTGTCTGAGGATTATAACTAAACAGATTTGGTGAAAACCGGTTGAGTAATAAGGAAGTTGTGGCTGATTTAATCCTGAGACTCTTCGTCTCTCAATAGAAGTGAATCTGTTCACAAGCGGATCTTGACCATCTCCAACATGGCGGACGCTCAGACGTTTCGCCTGAGATAGAGAACAACAGACAACCCCTCAAAAGCCACTATGTTTTATATCTTTTCGATGACCTTTTGTTTAACCCAAATGAATGTTTTATAATAAACCTGATCATAACAATAGCTACATTTTATATCCTTTTAAGGTGAAATTTGCCAGAAAAATACCTCCATACATCACGTTTGTACGCACAGATCAACGTAATGACATTTCTACATTAGTGAATTGGCGCCAGCAGCAAAATAAGAAATATTGTAAATCCGTTGCTGCGTTAAAGCTTTTCAGTTTTATTTAAATCCCAGTGGTATTTTTTTTTGTGTTTCTGTTTTTCTTTCTTCTTTCCTCTTTATTTTTTATTTTGTTTATTCTGGGATGTGAAGGCCGTAAGGCATCCTATTGTTATAATTGTTTGTGTATATATATATATATATGGCTATATGCTGGAAATAAAAAAAAATAAAAAAACACACGGCACAGGTATGTTTATCTATGCGATGTTACTCGTTGTTCTGGAAACCCCAGGCTTTTATTTTACTCTTAGCTCGATTAACCCCAGGCTTTTATTTTGACACTCAGTTCTGCGGACGTGCTGCGGTGTTGAGTAGCGGAGGCTGCCTGGCGAAAACAAGGCGACAGCAGCGGAGAACATTTTGTACTTTGGCCTTCAAAATGCTTTAAAAGTGTTTTAAGTCCCGAACTGTCGGCACGGTGAAGAGCTCAGGTAACAGTTTAACACCTTCGCTGAAGTTTTACTGAAGCGGTTTTTACGCTGAAGCGAAAAGAGGAAGCGAGGAAAAGCAAAAACAAACGGCGGGTTCCGCTCAGCTCGTGATATGATCTGTGTTTGTCAGCGAGACGAACATTAACTTCACTTTTCACAGCCTTTTATTCTTTAAACAGAGGTTTTTATGCCTCTATAATGAGATAAAGTGCTGTAACCTCAGCAGATGATCCTAAATGTGCTACTGAAGCCTCGATATGAGTTATATAACCAGTATAATCTGGTTTGAGCTGGTAAAGAAATGTACAGATAATATAAAAGAACATCGACATTTACATATATTAAAAAACTGTACCTGAATCTTCTACACATGGTTTATCTGTGACCTTCTGATGTGTAATATACACTCATATTACTGCAGAAGTCCAGAGAGGCCACGAGGTAGTTACAATTTTCGAGATATTTTGAGATAACGAGTTAATTATCTCGTTATCTTGAAATAACGAGTTACATATCTTGTTATTCTCAAGAAAACAATCCACAAAATTATAGCAACAGCTCATGGCCTCTCCGGACTTCTGTATATCACAAATACGCTCTTAAAAAGATGGTTCCTTAAGGGTTCCTTAGTAATGCTGACGGTTCTAGTAGAACCATGATTTCTGTATTAAACCATCTGCATGTTTAAGCGGTTCTTTGCATGGTGGAATGGTTCTTCAGACGGATGGAGAATGTGTTGTGTAGGGTTCGGTATAGGACCAAGCTTGACAATAGCAGAACCCTTTTTGGGGCTATGTAGAGCCATTTTTAAAAAGGTTCTATATAGAACCAACACATTCTCCATCTAGCTGGAGAACAGTTTCACCATGCAAAGAACCGTTTGAGCAAGAATATGGTTCTGGATAGATGTCATAGTTCTAGACAGAACCATTGTCTTTACTAAAGAACCCTTGGAGAACCGTTTTAAGTGTGTAGACTGTATGTAATGTGTCAGAAACGTTAAACCTTTATCTGCTTTTTATTGGTCACAATATCATCATATTTCTTCAAGTACAGATACACACGACTCATGTAAACAGCGGCTTTAAAGGATCGGTTCACTGGAAAGTCTGATTTTCTTATTTTACCCCTTACATTCAGCAAAGCTGATCAACCAAGA